TCTCCACCTGGCCCTCACCTCTCCTCTCCCAGTCCCCTTCCTTTTCTGCAAGTCATGTCCATTGGTTTTCCTTCCCCTCAGCTTCTTTCTTCCTAAACTCATCAAAATCAAATATGAAAGACTTAGAACACAGCACTGATTGCCAGCATGCTATTCCATCCATTTATTTGTTTCCCCTTTTCCAAGCTTGTTTCCCTTTTCACAACAAAAACCATAGAGATTGCAAATCAGAAGTGACTTCCTGGAGAAGGTTTTTCCAACACTCAGTTGGGTGGGACCCCATTCTGCCATATACAATGCTGATAAGTAAAAGTATAAAACTCTTCAAAGAGCAGAGGACCACAGGAATATAACAAAAACCAGGTACCAGAAGCCCAGTCCTCCTTGATTTCCATCATCTGTCACGGACTATGTTTGTATCTGTGCTCCACACTGTATTTCTTTAGGACTGCAACATATTAAAAGCAAGTTGGTTATTTCTCCACACAAAGCAAGGAACTAAGATGCGCCTTGTTCAAATGTATAGACAAATGTGTTTCAGAGTTTTCTATAAGCCAAAATAGCATGAAGGAATACTTTTTTCTGTTATTTAAATTCACTGATCAGAGCCATATTTTTGTCTTGCCTTGAAAAAAAAGTCATAAGTAATTAAACATGTTCTTATTGCTATAACAGGATCTTTTCTTAAGTGAAAAATTAACAAATGATTTTCAAATATGGTTAATGTATCTAGCCCTAAAAAAAAATCACATGAATTTTAAATACTACTGCTGCAACAAATATGACAGTCCCCTAGAGAACTGAATCATCTTTTCAAGAGATAGAGAACACTCCTAGTAAACATAGACGCTGTTTTCCTATAGTTTCCAGTGCCACTGAAGTTAGAGGCTGCTCTTGCAGCTGCCGACCACAGTTTATTATGTCTGCACCACTAAAGCCTCGAAGAACCCGAAAACACAGAATCAGAGATGATCCTCCCTGCATCCTCCCTTTGATGAGTGTTTCCCAACTGGGTAACCCAAACCCTTTAAAAACCCCCATAAAATCACTATGAGCCCCACATGCAGCCATCACCAGGGAGGGCTCAGAGGTCTCTGTGGGCAGCTCAAAGAGCTGAAGCAGCAGCGACTTACCCAAAGCACAGCAGCCTCTGGATCTGGGGGCAGCCATGGGTCTGGCAACGGGATAGGCAAGCCTTCGCTGGCCAGGGTTTGTGCTCTCCCCCTGCACCGTGGGGAGGGATCACATTCCAGCAATCAGCACAGCAGCCCCAGGAATGCAGAGCATGCAGGGCTGACTGAGGAAGACCCTGTGCCAGCAGATCTGCCAGCTGGATTTCATCCCCTTGGCTGCCAGAAACAGCTTTGTATCATCACTCAGTTAACTAATGCGCAAAAGGCAACTGTGATTCTGGTATGTAATTGCCTCCTAAATTATGGAATTATGAGGCCTTCCTCAGTCAAATAATGAGGATGCACAGTAACAGTGAATAAGGGAGCTGTCATAGTCACCCATGTTTTGGCTTCCCTTCACCCCACCGAAGGTGCATGGAGTCATAACTTCTCCACAAAGGTGCGGTAACTGACCGTGTAAATACCAGGAGATCATTGCATGTGGGGAAAAAAATAAACAAAAACAAATTTAAAAAAATAGTTGATACACATCACCTCCAAATTAACTCTAATGAGAGGTGATACCCTTGCATGTATCACTTCGCATTTGCAATAGCCTCAGAGTATCTGCACAGCTTCTGGAGTGGGTGGCAGAGAACTTCCTGAAGTTCTCATAATGACCTCAACACATTCTAATGGTTAATGCAGTCAAAACAAGGCTCAGGACAAATTAGGAAGATACTGGGAGAGACATAGAAGCCCTCAGAACCAGTAATACAAAACAACTGCTTATAGCGAAGTGTCAGTTGCAAGCTTTTTCAGAAACAGGAATATTTTCATCCTGTTTGTACAGGGCTCCCCACCTTGCAAACACTGTTAATCAAAGCATGCAAAAAGAAGAGCTGCTAAATAACAGCCAATGCCAAGACCAAGTGGAAGGAACCCTGGATGCCCAGATGCTGATGCTGTACCCATGATTTGGATGACCCTAAACCATTGCCAAACCTATCGCCAAGGAGGAGATGGGTGAGAAAAGACAGGTAGAGGGAATGGATGTGCTTGCTAATAAAGCCTAACAGTGCTTCAGAAAATGCATGGCTCTCCATTACTCAATTTGAAAGACATTAAAAAGTCCATATTTCAGTCAGCTGAGGTACCAAACATTAAATTAAACACCTTACAGTTTGCATTAATGGAGGTTTAGGTATCTCCCTTTTCTTTTAAAAGTGAAAATTCAGAGAAAATAACCACTCAAGTCTTGAAAAGCAACATACAGAGGTGACAGCTTTCTTAAAAATTCTTTTTGAATGTTTTGAGAACAGTCAGCATTGATCAGACTTCACATTTCAAAGCTTCACAGAGGAAGCAGCTTTGGACACAGATCTAAGGAAAGAAAGCTACGTTTGCAATGCATATGGTAGTCCATTAGCATTATATTTTCAACGCTTGAGTGAAGTCTGTGATTTCCTGCATGTTGACTGGTGAGCTACAGCATAAATTCACTCTCACACAGCATTTATAGCTGCTGGCATTCAAGACTCAGTTGCGATGTCTACTCAGTGTCTCTTCACATGAAGTCTTGTAATGGGCTGCTTTAGCTCCAGGCAGGGTAAGGCTTACCTTTCCTTTGTCTTTAGGTCAGCATTTCTTAATCACTTACCATGGGTTAACACGCCTGGTGTCGTTCTGCTAACATCCGAAGGCAAGAGCTCAAACTATGGATCTGGCAAGAAAATGCTGTTCTGTCCTCCACTGGGATTCCACTCTGCATCATTAAGATCTTTAAAAAGCAGTAAAACTGTACATTTCACACACTTGTCTCTTCTGCCTGGCCTCGGCTATGAGCACTGGAGAAGCTCCTGCCAGTGACACACCACTGTGTCTAGACCAGTACTGCTAGGCTCACTGCCCAGCATCACTGTCAAGTATCTTTGAAAGGCTTTCAAATGCCCACATGAATTACTTTAACCCCTTAACAGCCAAAAAAGCAAAAAACAAGGTATCACTTTAGTCATGGATGTGGGAGGGAGGATGGATTTCTAACACACTGTCTTGTCCCTGCCCTTAGCACAGCCTCCATAGAGCTGCTAGGGAAGAGCTGCTTGGACACAGATTTTGTTTCTCCCTGCTCTGTCTTCCTCTGACAAATTTCTGTGCTTTTCTTTCTGCCCCAAAAGCTTAAAAATTCTAACCACATATTTGGCATTTGTAACATCACAGCTTATTACGGTGCAAGTATAATCTCAGCTGATGCTTTCCAGGGAGAGGTACCAAATAAGACATCCAACACAATGTCCATGACCACTGACAGAGAATTAGAAAGGGATACACAGATGTTTGTTACGGCCTCACAGAACAGTGCCAGGCAGCTGCTTCTGGCTGTACTTATTCCCAACACAATCAAGACTCTGAGGACAACCCTAGTAAGGTCAGATCAAAAGGTCCACTTGCAACAGTAAGTCACTGATAGTGGCCACCAGCAGACGCACAGGAGAAACCAGTGTAAGGGCAGGCCACAGACTGAGTAATCCCTTCCCTGGTACATGCTCTGAGCTTCCAGCAACTGGCCATTTAGAGACTTCCTGAGCTAGAGGCCACATCCAGACCATTGTATCTGATAGCCACTGATGGACGTATCTTCTATTAATCTGTATAATCTTTTTTTGGATCCATTTATACTTTTGGCCTCCACCACATCCCATGGCAATGACTTCCAAATTTTAATTATGTACTACGTCAAGAAGTACTTCTTTTTTAAAACCTGCTGCCTGATCATTTCATTGGGTGCCTCCAATTGTGTAACAAGAAATACTGATTAATCACTTCCTATTCACCTTCTCCCAAGCAGCCAATTCTACAAACCACTATCATCTCACTCATCCATACCCACCCTCACTTATCCTTTCTGCTATTTAGTCTCTGCTACAGACTTGGCCAGTCCTACTATTGGTTGTCCTGTGGGTTTTTTTGTCCACAGGTAATTGTGAGCTTCAACTTGGCAGAAATCCTTTCAATGACCCTAAGATCCTTCTCATGGTGATAACACCTCATCCACAGTTCATTATGAATCCATATGTGGTAGACTCACTTTCCCCTTCTCCCTGTGCACTCTCCCACATTTATCAACACTTAAATCATATCCGCAGGTTTATCAGCTAGTCACAAAATATGCTGAAACCTCTTGAAAAAGACCAGCATGATGTTTTTATCTGGACCTATTGAAGCAATAGGTCCCCCAGAAGCTGGAGTCCAGCATATCCAATATAATTACTCACTACCAGCCCCATCTGCCTGGCATTCTTCTCACCAGCAGACTCTTGCTTTTCTGTACCTACCGCACTAGGACCACGGAAATGGAGACAGCCAGCTGCACAATGGGTCAGTAGGAAAGAGGGCTGTACTTCTTATTTTATGCTGAAAATAAGCTTCCAGACGGATGTGCTTATACCAGAAGAGTTTGCCCATGGCAGAACACGAGGTGGAAACCGGACTCACGAAGTCCTCTTGTGAAAGCCCTGCCTTGCAGATCAGCAAGGCTCAACGAGAGGGTTAAAGGACACTGAGACTGGGTGGGGAGGGCCAGTGGGGGAACAGCTGACAAGCCCCCTTTCTAGAGCCTCCCCTGTGATCTCCAGGTTATTTTCAATTTAGAAGCCCCTTAGAAGGAGACCCACAGGCCAACAAAACTTGTCCCCTCAGAGGCTTATTGGAGCCATCCACACAGGGAATGAACTTTGGCTTTGGGGGTCGTTTGGGTGTTAAACAGAGAGCTCTGTTTTATGGGCTGAGGAAGGAGGGGGAAAAGAAATTCCTTAGCACAGTTCAGCCATCGCTGTGGGGGATGAAAGGACATAGTCTTGCCTAGTCCGGCTTCTGTGAGAAGGGTGAAAAGATACTAAAAAAAAAACCAAACAGGAACACTCCTCTCAGCTGCTGTGGATCAGTGGGGTGAAGGAGGAAGAAAGGGAGGAGCAGGAAGTGGTAACTTATTTGGACTCCTGAAGTGAAACTTCAGTACTCACAGGGTTTCACAGCTCACCACTTATTTTCACCTGGTCAAAAAAACTGAACAACCATTCAGGTCAGGATTTTGTGCTCTCTGTGGCTTCTATTGGACACAACTTCAAAATCCAACAAACAGTAAGCTCTTTAATTGCAACATTAGCCCTTTTTCCAGAGAAATCCAGTGTTCTTTGGCCCTTAAAGCAACAACTTAATGTGCTTCATCATCCCTGAATTTCTCATCTCTTCCCCCCTTTCCTATGCATATACACTTTTATAATGGGCTTTTTTTTTTTTTTCCATGAACTCGGCAAACTTGACTGAAGTCGATTATTTCAGAAACAATTTAGACATTCCTGCCAAACACAGTTCCCTGGAAACGCAGCAAGGCTCTTATGCAAGATCTGGGCTGCTGCCTGCTCAGGTAGTGTCACTCTAGGGTACTGAGAAAGAAACACAACCATAGAATCATTTAGGTTGGAAAAGAGCTTTAAGACCATAAAGCCCAACCATTAACTTAGCACTGCCAAACCCACTGCTAAACCATGTCCCTAAGTGATTCATCTACATGGTTTTTAAATACCTCCAGGGAAGGTGACTCAACCATTTCTCTGGACAGCTTGTTCCAATCCTTGACAACCTTATGGTGAAGAAATTTTTCCTAATATCCAAACTAAACCTCCCCTGGGGCAACTTAAGGCCACTTCCTCTTTTTTCTTCTTACTTAGGAGAAGAGGCCAACACTCAACTCATCTTGCTTGGAAAAGCCCCTTAATTTAAGGATGGCATGAGCAACTGTAGATGAGCAGACAGGAAGGATGTAAAATGTTGAGGCTCCAAGTTATGAACGAGCTCTTTGTCTGGTTCTTCCCTTCAAAGCCCTATTACATCCACGAGAAGCTTCCTGCAATGCTCCTCCAGTTGTACTGTACAAAGTCCTCATCCCTTTTCCCATCATCTCAGTGATAAACACCCCCACAAGAAGTTTACTTGCAAAAAATACATGCAAAATTTCTGTACGCCCCAGGGTCCAACAGCAAGTAGAAGAACATAAAATAAGATGGGGCGCTGTCTCTGCCTTCTCATTTTAGCTATCATTTTGGCACATGCCAGAACATTACCCCAAGCAAAACATCATCAGGTAATGAACAGGGATTTGGATGCAATTCCAGCAGTGGGCATGACCACAGGCACTGATGACTGTAAGTTATTCCTTCCAAGGATCATCGCAAATCCCATCTTTGAACATCAGCTGCACAAAAAAGACCTAAATGTCCTTTGCAGTTTTAATTGGATTATCAACTGAGGTGACATAGTAGCTGATGTTTCTGCACAAAAACATGTTTATTACAATGATGTAGAACTGACTCAGAGCACAAGGATGCTTTGAGGTTTCCCTGCTTGATCAGCAGATTCAAATCCCTTACTGCCAGATTGGCATAAATTGCTAGCCAGTCCCTTCCCAAGAAACAAGCTTTCACTATCTCTCCTGACAGCAGAAACTAGTCACGTACCAATTAGATGTGCATCCTTTCCAAAAACAGCTTAGTGAACACCCAAATAGAGTATCTTTGGATCTTACAACCCTCTCATTCCAGAAGTCAGGCTTTTGAAAATGTCAGGGAAGATATCCTCAGTTTCCCTTACATGCAAGAACCCTCCCAAAATGCACACCAAAGAAAAATGGGCAAAGCTAAAATAAAGATAGAACTGCAAAGTACAAGCAGAAATTATTTTTTAGCTATCTTTAAATATTTCTATTTTTATATGCAATGAGTTCTTTCATGTTCTTTTGGTCTACCTATGCTCACTTTAAGATCAAACTGGGTTTTTTTTTCTCAGTAATTCATTTAGAGCCTGCTCTCTGCCACCCCTTTCCCTCCCCACCTGCAGGCAAGCAGGGATCTGGGCCTCACAAGACAACTGTGGCGTGGGTGTTATTGGCTGTCTGTTTTGGCAGCTTCTCATCCTTTCTTCCAGCTCTGTTTTGAAACACAATCTAAGTTTTAAAAAAAAATTTAAAAAATAAATCAGACATTCCTGCTCTCCCTACTCACACCACCAGCGCTCCCACTGCCACAGCATAAAGCATGGCTGTGAAAGGAGTGGCACCAGGCAGGCTGGCAAATGTTCAGCAAGGAAAAACCTTAATCCAAAGAAAGGTACATATTTTAGGAGGAGCAGAGGCAAAACCAGGGAAAAGAGGGCCAAGAGGGCTTGGGCTGGCTCTCTCCCACATTTAATAGCATTAAGTTCTAACATGTAATTTGGACTAAAAGACTAATTCTTTCCTGTGGTTTGATGGATGTTAACATCCCCTTTTTTATTATTTTTTAACAATGTATTACATAATATTCTGATACACTAATTACCATCTCATGTCATAGCAATTTTATTAAGAGATTATACTTACAAATACCCATTCTGAAACGATTTCAGGACTTTTTTGTCATTTTTTCTGAACTATGCTTGTTGAAGCACTGGCAACACGGTCTGATGCTGCTTCGTGCAGCTTCCAGTAACAACACATCTCTACACAAAGATGTCTGGTGAGCCCTGGGAGTCAGGCATGGATTCTGCTTGCGTTTAGTCTCAAAGACTTGTAAACAAGTTACTTTTAGCACACTAGGTTGTGATAAAACACTGGTAGCACAGCCCTATTAGGTTCCTGTACCTGCTACAGCTCCAAATCCAGAAGCAACGCCAAGAGAGAAAAATTCCTTTATAACAAGTAATGGAAAATTTGTTAACTATTCTGCAGTTAGTGTTTGCTCATTAATATGTTATCATCTCGCCAGGCAAGACTTGGTACCATGAGGTATTTTTCTGTATAAAATTGCTAATGCCATCAGGATTGTCCAAATGGGATCACCATCATTAAAAAGATTACACGGTGAGAAAAGTGATTACGACAACATCTCAGCAGAAGGATTACTAATCACAAGTAGAATCCTGGTACAAATCTCATTCTCTGTATACAAGAAAGGACACAAAACCTTTTAAACATAATTTATATACATTTATGGCTTTATACAACAAACTGTCAGGGATTGTTCTCATGTGTCTGTAGAAGTACATCAGGCACTTTTTCTGAAAATATCCACATATGAATTTTAATTCTGCAATGTGACTAAGTCAGAGCAGTGAAGCGTTGAAGAGCTGTCACATCACTCGCAAATAGAACTAGCAGTATGTACATGCCAGTCTCTCAGCTATTGCTGGTTTGTGGAACACCTTCAAAAAACAGGCCAGTTTTCATGTCGAATAATTTGCTTTTTGCTTGTATAAACCATGCTGCATCTTACATTATGATTACCAAAATAATAATAATAATAATGAGAATACCTTACTTAAAATCAGTCATAAATTAAGAATCCTAGCAATTTCATAATGAAAATAGGAATTTCAAATCAGTAAAAAAATAAAAAAGTACTAACATACATCCAGTGGTTTAACAAGTGCAAATTTTATACTGTTTTATAATTGGTCCAATTTTAACTTCTCAGGGATGCTCTGTTGACTTAAGCCAATAATAAGCAATATGATTTTTGCTTGTAAGTGTAGGCAAACTGTCAGTTTATCAAAGCAGAGCTTTCCAATTAATGCATCTACTACCTAAACATATATCATAAAGCTATATCATGGAAACAATACATCTTTATATTTAAAATATCTGAACAGCTCTATAATACAATAAACTTTTAATAACAGTACAAACCAGAGAAAAGTCATAAACAAGGCTGCATAGGTAAGATCATCTGCACACTTCACAAACCAATCATTTACAATTCTGACAAACTAAGTTACTCCAGAAACTTGGTACTTTTACTGAAAAAGGATTTATAACTAGAGGTCACATAATGTTTGTTTTCAAGGCAGACAACATGCTCCTTCACCAAACTTCACAGTATTCCAGAATTACAACTGCAAAATATTAGAATGGCACCACAAAAAAAAAAAAAAAAAAAAAAAAAACAAAAAAAAAAAAAAAAAAAAAATCTCCAAACCCCCAAAAATGCCAAGTTGACCATGCAGCCCAAATCTCTGATTATCTACAACTGTTTTCTCATAATAATTAAAAGGGCTTTCTACAGACTGTTGTAATTAGGAAAGGCTACATTTATGTTATTTGTAGTTATAAAAGGCAATGAAAAAAATATCTGTTTACAGGAAATTATACAGTAGCAGTAAACAATAAACAGGAGGTGTATTGTTAAACGCAGCATGTTCAGCTGCATCCCCATAGAGTATAGCGCTGAGCACTACTTTCTTTGCATGCAGAGGTGGATTTTGTGACTACTTTGGCCAATGTATATCCATGCCTATTTGGGAGCAATCATTTCTGCACATGCAGCAAACAGAAAGATCTTCAGAAATCCCTATATGAGCCCTTCACTTGCTCCACTGCCAAGATTTACTATCACATTTCAGACTATGCACGTGATGGTGAAGATGCTTTTAGAGATATTTGCCTGTAAAAGCAGGTGGCTTCATTGAGGCTTTGGCACTTTAAATATTTGATTTTGCTCAAAACAAGTCCAAAGACCAATTTCACACTGGGGAAGATTCTGTAGCACATCAGCCTCTGGAACTGCCTGACAACTGTAATAGCCTATCTAAAAAAGTAGGACCAGCTGTAATTAGTAGTGATTTAAGCCCAACAGGGAGCTAAATGCTAGCACATCAATAAATACATAGAAGAGCCATAGGAAAGTCATAACAGGATCATTAAATATATGGCTTGTTACTAAACTTCATTTACTTGGCACATCCCATTTTCTTTTCCACCATACGCTATCACCACAGGGAAGATGAGTTTCAATTAGTACATTTTCCAGTTGTGAGCTATTTAGACAAAAGAAAAATCAGTGTAAAAATATTTGTTTTCCCCCCTCCTTCATGACAGTCAGCCCTAGCAAAAAAAGCTGTTTATTCTGTCACTGCATAAAAAAAGCCACAAGGATTTCTGTAACACAAATGTTGTGTAGCAACTAGTCAAAAGACAGGTCAGGCCTGTTACTCACATATCCATGAAAACTGCATCATGCAATTGCAAAAAAAAATCAGAAATCATTTATTCCAAGAGCCACTCCTGAAAATGCTTAGGTAGCTGTCAGGGTGCCTACTCCAGCAAGAGCAGGCTTTTCCACAGAAACAAGATCTCTGTTATTATTGCTCTCCCTTACCCTAAACCTCATACATTTGTATAACTTTGCCACTTACTTTATCTTTCTTACTGAAAAAAAGTAATGTTTTGTGCTGCAATAAGGTCAAATAAGTTTTACTCTCACACTTCAAAAGTAGCATTTTTGCCTCTTCAAATCTACTGCTTTACAACAGTAACACTGATGATCCCTAAAACTACTGCTGATTAAGACAAATGACAATTTTGCCATTAATTTTACTACAATTACAAATTTTCCACAAAAGTTCCTGCTCCTGAGCGCACAAACATTATGAGACCTCCATAAAATAAATATAAATGTGAAGCATTTTACAAGCATCTTAACAATGAATACTTAACACTTTGTGGTAGTCAGAGTTAAAATGATAATAGAAGCAGATGACATTTCTAAAAATGCATATATAAAACTGATTAAATATTTCTAAACATAAAGTTGTCTATATTTATACATCACACAACAAAAAAAAGGGACAGAAATGTTTTGTATTCAAGATCCTTATTAAGCTTTTCCTTTATTAGCACCCCCAAGTGCTAGGGAAATTTATAAAAACATGTACTTAATCCAGTTAAAATACTGTACAAAATTAAGAGGTTATGAATGCTGCCAGATCTCAGATTTTTTTTAAAGTTGCCTATGTAACAAAAGTAGATTTTAATTATAAGAAAAATAGCTTGGAAAGTATTCCAAAAATTATCTTAAGCCCAACAACAAAGTGATTAATCTGACAGTAAAATCCAGATATATTCTTGCATAAATTTACATGAATGCAGGTAACTTATCAAATGGCATTTAACCTACTGTTTGCTTTGAATAGTCAGTGAATTTAGTAGGATCATATTTAACAGGCTATTCTATTCCCATATGAAATGTGTGGCAATTTTAAGGAAAATAATGCAGTTCGTACTGCTGCAAGGCAAGTCCACAGTTATCTCAATTCATCCAAATACAGGTAACATCAACGAAGCTTAAACTTACTTAGGGCATGAGATCATCACAGTATTCTTACAAAAGTTTATAAACTTTCCTTGGACCAAAACAGACAAGTCTTAAAAAACAATTCTTCTTCTACAGGTCATACTGTACAAAACCGAAAGCACAACATGATGTAAGTAAGAGTCTTTGCTGTGATTATATGGTGTAGTGAATTTGGCACTTCAGAGTAATGAAATTTCCAATGGCACAGTTCTTATCTACAGCAGCACATAACCTGCAAACCTTGGGCAAACATCCTGTACAGGAAAATACTCTCTCTGCTGCCAACTCTGATGAAAGGAAGAAAAAGAAAAAAAAAAACCCAAAAAGTTAGTGCATGTGCACAGCTTTGTCAAGAAAATTAAAAAGAAAGGTGAAGGACATCTCTGTACTGCTTTTCTCAGTTCCTGCTGTCAGACAAGTCTGGAGAATTTAACCATAGCCTAGGGAGAAAGAAAAACAACAAAAAGAACAAATTAACATTCACAACAAATGAATAAATCTATTAAAATATGCTCAAGCTAGCTTTCAGATACCTTAAATGGGAAAAAAAAATCATTATTGGCTAGTTACCAGCAAGTTTTTTGTTTAAAACATCAATGACAAAACATTAGTGCTCCAAATGAAGAGAAGTCAGTACATAACAGTCCTAATGCACCAGCGCAAACCTGATTCTCAAACTAAGAAAGGACTGGAAAGTGACTGACTGTTACCAAGGGAGTTCACGTGCCAACACAGAAGAACTCCCAGCTTTTAAGCATTCTGACATTTCTTTCTTTTCCCTTTAGCTGTTTTGCAGATTTATTATAAAAAGCACAGCTTACCTCCTACTACATCCTAGCCTGACACCCAACTGTGTGTGGTTGTCTTTACGCTGTGCTGAAAACTTTGGTTAGGCAATACACTGTCAAAGTTAAAATCTAATGTTTCTCCATCCATAAGATCATTACGGATAATCGACTCCATGTCACAGTCCAACCGTTCAATTAACATGTCATCTAAGTCACTGGGAAGCTTCTCCTGGTGGAGGGAAACAATTCCCACCCTCCCGTAGCCATTGCAACTGTTAACAGGTGCATATGGATTCATGGCATTTATCTGCATTGGGTGACTCATAGGCACTTGTAACGAAGTCTTCACTGTGGACAGGCGGTTTAGCCCTGATGTGTGTGACATGGTGTTCACTGTGTGTGACAAGGCACGGCCATTGACTGCAGGCGCTGGCTGGTTATGTCCCTGGTGAGGGCGGGCGTTAGGGTTCATCATTTTGTTGTGGGGTGGCTGGCTGCCATAATTYGGCATCACCGAGTTGGCGACCATCAGCACACTTTGGCCCAGTGCCCTGCCACCAGCCTGGGAAACGCCAGTGTCCACTGATGCCAAGATATCATTGTGCGGTGGAGAATCGGAAGTCAGTAACTCCTTCAGAAGTCCTGCAGGACAGTTATATTGGCTCATCGATCCATAGCTTGATTTACTGTCTTGGAGAGTCTGCATAGGAATCTGGGACAAAGAATTCATGCTAGCTTGAGCGTAAGTGAATTTCCTGTAGTCAGGATTTGGTGAACCTATACTTGTGGTCGAGGATGCGAATGAGTAACCTGGTGTTTGCTGCATCAGGGTGCCAGATGAAGACTGGGTTGACACAGTCATTGATGTATTAGGTGACAGGAGATTGAGATTATCCAGAAGGTTTTCCATGTTCTCAGAATTACTCATCTCTGAAAGGCTCGGTAGAGTAGAAGTCATTTTGGTAGCTGATGACGGGTATACCATGGAGTGCACATCTCCATCTCCAAGATCATCTTGCTCTGGCAAAATAGGAGAAAGTCTTCCGCTAATTGTGCTAGCATTAGAGCTCGTTCGAGGTCGAAATGTACTCCAGTTATCAAAGTCGTCATTACTGTGAGAGCTGGGACTTGCAGGCCACTTTGAGAACTGTGATCCAGGGCTGTCCCCGGTTCCCTCTTGACCAGACTGAAGGGCTGCTTTTTTCTTGGCAGCTCTGCCTCTGCTTTTGGCAAACTTGCTGTTGTTATCCATGGACGCTGCTCGCCTCCTAGGAGACTTGCCACTCTTCCCTCCTTCAGGATTGAGCATCCACCAGGAACTCTTCCCTGTTCCCTCATTCTGCACTCTGATGAACTTGCTGTGCAGAGACAGGTTGTGACGGATTGAATTCTGAAAAACAGAATAGCATGTAAGAAACAGAGAAGACATGCATCTTTTATGGCATACTAATACCTGCTTTTGTAAGCATACCCTCATTTTGTTAGAAAACAGAGGTAATCACTAAATCAGAAAACATGCCAGCCTGGAAACATCTTTTATCAGCTCACCACTCTGACCTGGCTGAAACAAACTTGAAAAGAATCACCATGTCAATTTGTCTGTCATCTGCCTCAATAACATATGACATTATAAAAGGTTAAATTAAAAACTGCTGGAACTGTTCTTCTAAAATAAAAATTCCACATACAGGAGACAAAACAAACCAGAAGATCAAGAAGATGACTAAAGATCTCATTATCAGCTTCACTTCAATGAGTGAACCTGACTGTATTTATGGACTTTTTTTTAATTATTATTTTATGCAAAGTTCAGGAATGCTCAATCCTTTTCTATGGTTCTTATAATGGATTCTCATCCTGCACATCCCTAAACTATATGGACATGCAACACACAAACTGTCGCTATTGCCACTGAGCATTAGTGAGCTTTCTACCACTTATATTATATGAGAAAATACATACAGAAAACTAGTTGAGGATTAACTTCTATAAATAAACACCATAAATTGCCTAAGAAATCACAGAAGATAAAGGAATGTAAACAGCATAGACAAAATTGTAATGAAACCCTCAGTCTTAAAACCATCTTTCCCTTTGAAAATCAACATTTTAATATGCAAAACTGGCTCTTCAAATACCTGAAGGCACCAGACACCTTGTGCCAAGACTGACCAGAGGTACCGGAGCTTTTTGTTATCTCCTCAGCCAGGAGTAATGTTTCATGTTTTGTTCTTAAATACAGACAAAGAAAAAAAAATTCCGAAATGGAAGACCACAGGCTGACCTGTTAACAAGAGACTAACATTTGCATTACCAAGCTCTAGATAAACCTATTTTTCCTCATATAATTTTCTGCTGAACACATGTAAAAAACGTACCAACAGAAAAATTTTCCTGTATCTTGACACAATTGCTAACAAAAGGCCACAAGTTCACAGACTGTTGAAACAGGCAGCCACCAACATTGGTAGAAGGGTGGGAGAGTACCATGGTCGGTGCTAGGACGGCAATTCATGCAGAACAAGGAGGAGGGAACCACAAAACAACACACGGAATAAATGTGTAAACCAGAAGTTAGACCTCAGTGGTTAAGAAATCAGTAATTCACTGCCTGCCTTCCATTCACAGAAATTTATAGCAACTTGTCTATAGAAACTTTTGGGGGAGCCAAAATGAAAAATTCTTTCTAGAAAGCATTAGAGTAAGGCTGATCTTCACCCAAATGCCAGCAGACCAATTATTTCAAAACACTAAATGGCTGCCAGACCTACAAACCCTGCTCTTTATTTCTGCCTTCCTATCTTTTAACTTCTACCTATCTTCTCTCAACCTGACACCCACCACTGACTACAATACCAAACCTGAGGATGAAGTGTGACTTGTGGGGTAAAACAGAGGACAAAGGACACAGCCACTGCTCTGGTCTCTGGCTGCTTTTGCTGCATTTCCCAGCCCAGAGTGTTGCCTGTGACAGCAGCACCTTCAGAAAAGTCCTCGTTCACCTTCAGCTCTCAGCATCTGCTTTCTCGAAGAAGCACATCTTTCCCCATTCCCTATACATCTGACTGACAGAAGAAAAGGAGCAAAGACTGTAAGCAGGCACGCCAGGAGAAAACAGTAATCTCATGGCTTAAACCAGAGACAACAAGCTCAAATGCCCTGCAAGAGCTTTGACATGTTTTTGACCACAGAAAGCCAACCAGACAAAGCAGGACTGGCCACCTGCAGAACTCAACAGAAGTGGTTATTCAGGGATCAAAGAGGAGACCTTAAGTAGATGAGTGCAGCAAGGAGGGGTTACAGTCATGCAATATCTTACAGGCGCTACTGACTTGAGACTATGCCCCCAGAAGTGCAGCTTCACCCCAAACAGGAGCACAAGACAGTCCCTGATAGCAGGTGATGGCAGAGCATGGCCTCAAGGCACTGGCTATTCAACCAGCACAGCAATGAGTTAAACCATGTGCCTAAACTCAGAAGCCCTTCCAGCCTCCTCTCCAAAAAACCATTTTTACAAATTATCCCAGTTAAACCAGCAACAATTCCCCATCCCTGGCACTATTCAAGGCCAGGCTGGATGGGGCTTGGAGCCACCTGATCTAGTGGAAGGTGGGGTTGGAACTAGATGATCTTTGAGGTGCCTTTCAACCCAAACCATTCTATGAGTCTATTGACGAATCTATGATTTGAGTGTTTCCTTATTCAATTTCAAAAGGAAACCACTCTCCTAGAAACTGTAGAGTAGGACTATCCCTTCACGGCAGGTAACCCTACAATCCAAGTATCTTCTTTAATCTAGCAACAGGGTGTTAGGGAAGGTCTTGGAATTTTATTTGTGCCAGGTGCAGCTAACACATGGGGAAGGTAAGCCTGGAAATCCATCCCTGGACTTGCCCACAGCCCCAGGGGCTGGTCGAGAAGCCTCGTGAGGCCAGCCTGGTGCAGCCTGTTGTTTTCCCTCAGGGGCCACAGCCGAATCTGTGGCTGACACAAGTCCAGCTCTAGAAATGTCACAAGAAAGTTGCTCTGCACAGCTGTTGATTAAAAAACCTCCTGTGCCAGTTCATTTTTTTACTGTATTGTGTAAACATAGCCGGTTGGCTCAGGATCACTGTTTACTATCAAAATAGGCATATCAAACACACAAAACATTGGTCAGGGAAAACACCCTATTGAGGCTCAGCTCCCTCTTCTCTGCTACACAAGCGTTAAATATTTAAGAAATCGCTGCTATTCCTTAGTCATCAAAAATGTTATAATCTGATATTATTGTACTGAGGACATTTGAGGTTGCTCTTTGAGTAACAGAGCTGTCTCCTAACTCTGCCAGCAATGAAAAAAAAATTTTCCTAACAGGAAAAGGTTTGCAGCCCAGAGCTTGTTACATAAATTCCTGTTTTTCATGCAGCCAGCAGGACATTAAAGAAGCTATGATTTACTAACTTGGAAAAAGTGTTGAAGAGGTAAATCTTGTGAAAATACGCACTGCTGTTAATGATGTTGTGTCTACAAATCCTTGCCAGATGCAAACACGACCTGATAAAAAAGTATAGTTTCAGCAACAGATCCTGGCAGACCGAGGAATGGCGCAGCTGTCAGTGGCTGGGGTGCGTGGCGGCACCATCAGCCCCAGCACACTGTGGAGATGCCTTCAGCCATAGGTTTCACCTGGACTTTGATGCAAAGCCTCCCTAAATCTGGCCTGAATGACTCCAGAAACAAGTGTCTGCATTTTGAGGTGGGTCTCTGCACAGCAGCTGTCCATGCCAGATCCACACAGATCACAACTGTGCTGGAATTTTATCAAAGTATGGGTCAGGACGGCAGCAGGGCTGCTGCCATCTGCAGAGTGCTTCCTGGGATTGAGTGTTTGCCTCTGAGATAAAGAAAATTTACTTCAGCATTCAGACCAGGAACTGTGGATACGCTTATTGCTGCTTTCTGATTTAAGACTCAAAATATGTAAAACCACTATCAGCTATGTGCAATGGGAAGAGCACAGCCCAGCTAATAAAACGCATGAAGCCAAGAAAATTATTCCTTTGAATCTACACATTTATATAATTCAGCTGCATTTCTGACATTTCTAACAGCTCTATCGATATGTAATAATGCATTTAAACTCAATATATTAATACCAAAACATTTCAACTTAAATTTACTTTGACTAATTACTGAAAAAAATATATCTCTATCACAACTGAAATTGAGGTATTTATTTTTTTAGTAAATTGTTTTGCTGTTTTACTAAACACCTGAAAACTCAGTTGCTCTATTAAACCTGACAACATTGTACTCACTGAAGCGAGACCATACAGTGATACTGACACTGGCCGTCTTTCTTCCACCCCAGCCCTTGGAGCACGAAAAGGAGAGGGAAGTAGAGCTTCTCTTTAACCCCAGTGAAAACCTCTCCAAGCAGGACCTAACTGTGGATCTGTGAGTATGCGGGGAGCTGAAAGACCTCAGATTTGTGAACCTACAAGTGTTCATGGTCTCTCCTGCCCCCATGTTCTCACCCATGGGCACAGGCAGCACTCATCCCACTACAGTGCCCTGACAGCCACCAAAAGGGAGAGTGAGGAATGGAGGGGACAGTCAGTACACTTTACAAAAACAAGTGGATTTGCTAGCAAGGTGCATATTGCTGAAAGCATGACATGGCATCTCAGGGAGATTCACAAGCAGCCAGAACAAAGGCAGGAGCTGGCCTCTGGAAGCAAATGCTGTCATTACATACTGGGAGGCCACAGGAGTAACACTGCTTTCATAGCACACAGAGCTCTAGGATTTCCATTAAAATTAACAGTGTAATGACTGCCCACTAACTTTTCAGTCCAAAGACTGGAATTCCCAGGAATCCACTGCTTTCTACACCTCATCCCAGGGCATGATCTACACATGTTGCCAGCCAGCTTGTACCATCAACTGAAATGACTGTGAGCACAGATTAAGGCCCAATGTATTGACTGTAGTTCTCAGATCTCTTCAAACAGCATCTGAAACAGATTTGGAAGCTGGAAAGAAACTTTCAGGGAATAAAATATTCAAGACTGCTTTTGCAGAAGAAGGGAAGCTGCTTATTTATTAGTTTTAACTCATAATAGGAGCATGCTCAGGAAAAAAAAGTCAGGGTTGAGGACTGGTAGAAGGTAATCCAGCTAACATCATCACTGTTGGGAGATATCTGCTGTGATCAGTGGTGGCTGGCTCATGAGCCAGCTGTGTTAGCATGTCCTGTTACTGAGATCCTACAGGAGCATTCTGAATGAGCACAATCTCCTTGTGGCAGCAGAGAAGTGAAGACCTCAGGATTTCCATATGCTGTTAGAGAAAGTATTTGGCCTATCTCTAGATCTTCGTATAGTGACTCTACAGGTGGTCAAGACA